CAGCAGCATCCGGTCCCCAGAGTCCCCACTCTCTTCGCCGTTCAAGGACGAAGGCCGGCCCGTGTCGACTCGGTCGCCACGACTCGGTCGCGTGGCGTAGGTCTAGGGATGACTTGGTGGGACCCCGTTGCATTCCCACTGCATTTGCCCCAGATGTTTTCGATGTGTCCCCTCCAAAGGACATCAAATGGGACTCTCCAAAACGTATACTCGTAAACTAATCCCCTATGAAATGAGAGGGGTTGAGGCCTCACATAAATCGTTTTATACTGCCTGCTTGTTCCCGTACAACCCTGATTTTATAGGGGATCAGCTTCTTGCTTACCATCACGGAGGTCATCAAAATATGACCTCACAGACAGTCATTTTATAGCAATCATGTGCTGGTGTGTATTGTCGTGACTCATGTGTGTTGTCGTGACTCTTGTGTGTCCTCCGGAGATCATTTTGATCAAGATGGCAGAGGATTCAGAGCCAACAGGGCTTCCAGCCAATTGCAATGTGCGCAATTGCGTGGGGACGATGCAGAAACCTCAATGGAACACGAGATATGGCGTTTGGGTCTCGAGCTGCGTTGCTTAGATTATGCTAGAATATAGGTTGATACTTTGTGTTTTTTTACGGTAATTGGATGAAGTTGGAGGATCAAACTCTTGGACCTGATCATCTCCTGCACATTCCTCCACCCAGGATGGCTTTGTGGGATTCTTGTCAAATGGAAGTTCGCGACCTGCGTACCACCAATGCGTGTATCTCGATGGGGAGTGGAATTTCACCACGCGATTGAAAAGCTACCTTGAAAAGAGGCAACACTGTGTCGGGTCCCCCAGAGATTCTTGAAGAGAAATCAAGAGTCAGATGATCTGAGCGTTTCCTGTTGAAAATGGATGTTGAACTTGCAGCAGCTTTGAACTTGTTACTTTTTTCGGCTCAAGCATTGCGGATCATTTTGCAGATTGGATCAGAACAGGTAAGGCAGCTAAAGAGATTTGCTGGCTATGATGATGGCTTGGAAGTGTGTGTGGGCTACACTTCTGCTCTCCAGTTGTCAAGGATCGCCCGAGGACACCGCAACCACTACAGCGGAGTTCGAGTGGTATCGTCCAATGCAAGACATGAATCAGCTAAACGTGTTTTGTGCTTTGGCCACATTTGTTTTTGATATTTTTGTCTTCTGCGCCCATTTGATTTCTCGCTACTTCTTCTTTATGGCTCTTAAGGAATAGTCTAGAACAAATCAATAAAAAAATCATATAGCTGGATATGATATAGCTGAACTTGTTTGACAAGTGAGGCAATTTGTGGGACAAACCTCGCGACTTGTTCTGCTACGATCTGTTTTCTCGATCTCAGCGGGTAGCCAAAACGTTTCGGCGAAGTGGATTCCAATCGGCTGCATTTGACATTGCGACCTTTGCTCATGAGGATATCCTCAGCAAAAAGGGGTTCCTTCAAGCTGTGGATACAGCTTTGAGGTGTTTTGGATGCATTGCAAACAAACAATCCACAAATACAACACAGATGAACAAAGGAATTTTACTATTGGTATGTATTTTCAGTTTTAGCACCTCTATAAAATGAGTGGTTGCATCCCTTTGGTATTATATATATTCAATCTGGTCAGAAGAACAACTATGTGATTGTTCAAAATGCTTCCTACAAAGAAACCTCAGCATATCTACAAAATGAGTGGTTGCATCCCTGGAGTATGGTATATTTTAAGTCTTTGTCAAGATGATCACCTGACAATTTTTAAATAGGCCTTCCTAGTGTCATAACAGCTCACACTATATTAGCTACTCTGGGGTCAGGATATGTCATTTTATAAGCACACACGTGGCATTTTCTTGTGCTGTGTTGTTAGGCTGGTGGATCACGGGTTGATCATGGCGGCAGTACCATGCTCCTTGTTTGTGCCGATAAGCTTCAGCATACATGGTCGCTATGTCTCCCAGAGAGGAGAAGTATGTTTTTATAATATTTTATAATATGTTTTTATATATTATGTATTTTATGCTTTTACTCTTTTGAATATCATGTTGTTGTTTCAATACATGTTTTTTTGGTCTGATCTATTTTTACCTATTTTGTTGTTTTTTTAAAGCTGTTTTTCCCCATATGCAGTTTCAGGCTTGGCAACCGCTTGGTCGAACAGCAAACTTCAAAGTACGCATGGCAAATCAAATTGCTGAGAACACCATCGCTTTGCTGCGGCTTGTGCTGACTGCTCGACCCAGCACGTTAATCGTACTGGAGAATCCAAAAGGATCTATGCTCTACCAGTTGCCATCGGTGGCCGCTTTTCTCTATGAACTCGGCTTTATTGGTCTGCTGACTTACCTTGGACTGTATGGCATGGACCTCTTGAAGCCGACGTGGCTTCGAACCAACATGCAGATTCTCAGCCACCATGGTTTCAAATGGTTTCTATATAGATGTTTCTGGTTGATTCATGTTGTGTAATGATATGTAATGAACATCAATGGACACCAACCTCATATACGCTGTTATAAAATGAGTGAGATGCTCCCGCCAGGGAGGTATATTTCTGGACTGATGAATACAGGGCTCAGGGCATTGCAGGCCAACCTAAATTATGGATTTTGTACAGGGTCAGGGTCTGTCATTTCATAGCCTTCTGCCTTTGGACATAATCAAAGCTGAGGACTGCCAATGGCTTGGCCCGTAAAGCAACCAAAAAAGTCAAGGCGCAGTTCACTCAGAGGATTGAGCGCAAGAAAGCTAGACGGCAAGCAAAGGGCTTGCCTGCCAAGGTATACTACACGAGCTCTGTGTCACGAGTTGGAAAAAAGCAATTCAGCGGCGGACCAGCACTCCAGGAAACGTCGACCTACCCACAGCG